GCCACGGCCATGTGCGAGATCACCATGCCCTCCTCCTGGTGCGCCTCCAGCTGGCTCTGCGGGTGGACGGCGGTCGTGGGGGGCGGCCCAGCCCGGCTGGGTGCGACCCTCTAGGCCTCCCACCCCGAGGCTCTGCTCGCCAGGAACCGTGGCCCTCTGCGTGCTCAGGTACGCGCCCGCCCTACCCGCTCAGGCACCACCCGCGCCCGCGCGCAGGGCCAGGCCGGCGGTCAGCTGTGGCCGCGGGTGCTGCGCCGCCTCTCAGGATTGGAGGAGGGGCCAGGGGTGGGCATGAGGCTCAGAGACACCCTGCCACGGGGCAGCATCCTCAAAGATCTTGAAATTTAAACAATCTCACAGGCCCGCATAATTCTCTAAATTAAAATAATTAAACTCTTTTTAAAAACCCAGGAAAACAAAAGACTTACGTCTCTGCCCTAGCAGTTGTCCGACAACGTTTGCAAGCAAGGGGAGGCCGGCGCACCCCGCCACTCAGGTTGTGCGACCTCCCGGGAGAGGCTCGGCCGGGTGCGCCCCCGTAACCGTGCACCTCGCACCCCGCGACCGCATGCGCCGCGTGGAAGGGGGGCGCGCTGATTGCGGCTGGAGGTCGCCGTGAGGGACCCCACACCCGGGAGCAGGACCAGGAGGACCACAGCTCTCCCGCACCACCGTCCGCACAGGGCAGGTGAGGCCTCACCCTTCTGTCTGGCTTCTTGATCTTTCGGAAACTCTACAGACTCTGCTGGGAATCGCACTGCCAAGACGAGGGCTGGAGGAAGGGCAGGGAGGCCTTACTCTGCATGGCCCTGTTTGTGGCCAAATACCTAAGGCTGCCCACGTTTACGGCTGCAATAGGAGACGAGGGGCCGCGCCCCTCCCTCCCCATTGCCCACCACTCAGACTTCCACGTAACAATCGACCTGAAATCTCCACGTCTCTGGAGGGAAAATGCTACCTGCTGCCCATTTGTGCACGAGCCTCCAATAGCTGGTTCCTCAAGTCAGGTCAGGACCAAGCAGGAATCACTGCCTGGAAAACTGGGGGGCAGAGGACGCTTCCACAGAGAGGTTTTAAAAGAAAAGCAGAAAAGCATGGCGTGTGAGGGAACTCTCTGCTGTTACGGGAGAGCAGAGGAGCAAAGCTCCCTTCGCTGCCCTGGCTGCTATTTCAGGGACTGTTAACACTTCTGCAGGGAAGCTTTCAAAACACACAGTTTGCTGAGCCTCAACCCTGGAGTTTCTAACCCGGCGAAACCTCCTCGATTCATGTTCCGGCGTTCCTGGGTGGAGGCTGGGGAGAAGAAACCCTTTCCCTTGTTCTCCTCTTTCTTTCTTTCCCTCCACCTTCAGTCGAGAGCACTGCGTGTTGCAGACAACCAGGAGTGAGGAACAGCGGGTTTTGGTTTTAAGCAGCTACAGTGATTAAACTGAAACTGTGGTTCACGGCGCTAAGAAACAAACCTGGGAAGTCAACGCTGGCCAGAGAGCCAGAATAATTAGCCTTTTCCTAAATGTCAGATTATTTCAGAACGGCATCAGTGTTTCTGACACTCTAAAACGTCAAAAGGGATTAAATAAACCCAAGCTAGAAAGCCATATGCAGTTGGGAGGCAGGATGACCCCCCCACACAGAAAGTGCAGGTGATCGCAGCCTCCGCTGCCTGGCAGGTTGGCACTCACGGCAGGTTTCCCATCTGCTCCTGACAGCCCTGACGGCAGGCGGGGGGCTGTCCCCTCTGCTGGGGCTGCAGACACCGGCCCAGCGTCCCCAGTGGTCTCCCCAGAGCTGCCAGATTGTGGCGCCAGGGCCGGGCAAGAGCCCCTCCAGCCTGTAAACGTACCAGGCTGACGAGGTGCTCAGAGCTGCCTCTGTATGGCGGGGTGGGGGGGTCCCGTAAACGTAGCAGCTACTGCCCCGGAGCAGTCGCTTTAAGAGCATTTAAACCCCGGAGCCTCAGGTACCTTTTTCTTCCAAATGTACCTTGTACCTTCCACCCTGCTGAGCCCACGAGCCCAGCATCGCTGCAGCCCACAGGCCGGGCCGGGCCCCGCTCCTACAGCACACGGCCCTCGGGGACGGCTCCTGGCAGCAGCCCCCCAGCAGGGAGGAGACACATGCACAGCTCAGATCTTAAGGCTGCGCCCGCATCTCAGCTACAGTTTCCCTGAACAACAGGAGCTACATGATGGATTTTATTTTTTCAGAAAAGAGCACATTTTTTCTTCTCTCTATAAATGTATTTAGATATCTTGGTCCAAAAAATGCACAGAAAGGAGCTTTATATTTGGATCCAAACATTACTTCTGAGCCTCCGAGATTTATAGCATATAAATTCTCTGGAACATGTGGGAATACTGTTTTGATTATAATAAAGTCGTAATTTGGGAATGCAATGTTTTCCTGAGAGCTTGTTGGTGACAGCTACAGAAACCATCCTTCCAGCTTTTTTGGTAGTAATTTACCACAAAAAGAATGCATCGTGTTGGGGAAGACATTTTAAATAATTATTATTTCTGTGCTGAAGAAAAGCAAATACAGACTAACAAAATATTATACCTGGCTGTTGCGTATTTGTTCTAACGACACTTCATTCTAATAACAAATAACGGCTGCCACTCCAGAGCTCTCCGCTGGGTGCTTTCACGTTGCATTTCATCCACGAAGCCCAGGTGAGTGGCTCATCTGAGATTGCCTTGTGCTACACGGCCCAGCCAGGACCTGAGCCCTGCGCCTTCTTAGATGCAGAATTACTAGGCGGCGTTACCGACGGGGTGCAGGGCTGGGGGTCAACAGGAAGTAGGAGCAGCGCTCAGACATGCCCTGCTCGGCAGCATGGGTCAGTTAGGGCTCCAAGCCAGACTGAAGGCTCTGACTCTCACGGCACAGGAAATAAAGTGCATCAGAGGGATACAAAAAGTTGCCATCACAATACTGGGAAAATGATCTACAATGTTTCCATCCCGCCCTCCATATTCTGGCAAGAAGATCCTGCCCTAAGTCCTGGGGTCCTGACCTGCCAGCTGCCTGTATCCTCACGTGTGCTTGCGCAGGCGAATCTGCAGAGAATATTCTGGAAAAGGTTGTGAGCTCTTTAAATGCTAACTGGTAACAGCGGCCTGCCTTCCGCAGAAGCACAGGGAGGGAGGTGCAGCCGAGCCCTGCAGAGTGCAGGGAGCTGCCCACGCGCTCGCCAGCTGGAGCAAACCGGAGCTCCCCCTGCCAGGGGCTGGGGGAGGGAGGGATGAGCGGGCGGAACAGAGGATGAGGCTGAGGACACATGTGATTGCTCGCTTGTCCAAACCCACAGAACGCACAGTGCCAAGCCTGAGCCCCGACGTCACCCGCGGATGTGGGTGAAAATGACGCGTCAGTGCGGGTTCATCGGCTGCAACAAACGCACCGCTCTGGGGCAGCTGCTCATGGCAGGGCTGGGCACTCGGGAGATTCTGTCCCGTCCACCCAATTTTGCTACGCACCTAAAGTGCTGTAAAAAGGAAGGCTTAGTGATAAAAATACCTTGTTTTAACAGGCAATCTTAGTTGTTAATGAGGCTAAGTGTGTGCGTGACAATATATTGCTTATTTGCGTTTCTTTTCATGGCCTTTGAACATTTTGTATTGGGTTGGTTGTGTTTTTCTTACAGTTTAGTAAGAATTTTTTGTATTTTAAGAACATTAATTCTTGGTTATATATACAGGAAATACTTTCCCAATTTTTCATTTATAATTTTTTTGAGACAGGATCTTGCTCTGTCACCCAGGCTGGAGTGCAGTGGAGTGATCATAGCTCTCACGGCAGCCTCGAACTCCTGGGCTCAAGGGATCCTCCTCTCTCAGCCTCCCACGTAAGTGCGGCTACAGGTGCACACCACCACACCGGGCTAATTTTTAAATATTTCTGTAGACACGGGGTCTTGCTATTGCTTAGGTTGGTCTTGAACTCCCAGCCTCAGTGATCCTCCTGTCTTGGCCTCCCTAAGTGCTAGGTTACAGGCGTGAGTCACCACATCCAGTCCACCTATAAAAGTTTTGATACAAATGCACATACATTGGATGTGAAAAGAGTCATACAACTTTATATTATCGTATTCTTTATCATGACAGGTTCTGGGTGTGGCCTGCTTGGAGAGGCTGTCCCCACTGCACAGTAATCGAAACATTCTCCTGCTCTTCTATGTGTTTTCATGTTGAAATTTCTATCCACCCAGAATGTTTAGAAGGGGAGCGGGCTGGGGCGTGGGGTCCAACCCCGTGTGTGCCAAACGGCTGGCCGTCGCCTCCTCATTCTCTAGTGAGTGACCCGCTCACCCCCCTGGGCTGAACTGTCACGTACGGCAAGTGAGAATGTCCCACAAGTCCCTGAGGTCCCTCTATGTTGATACTGAGTATGTTTCTTAAAGTAGTGTGTTTCTGTTACTTAGCAGGAAACCAGTAAATATGGATAAAACGTTAGGAAATATTAATAGTTGAGTTTTCTAGTTAATCTTGCCTTTTCTAAGCAAAACCTCGAAGGAATTTCTTTTACCCATGACCAGAGGCAAGAGGCCGCCTACGTGCCGAGGAGACTCTGACTGCAGCGTGGGAAGTCGGGGGCTGTTTCTGAACCGAGTCTCGTCCCCGCGGGCGACTCACCTCCACAGCCAGCGTCCCCACGCCGATTATGAACACTTGGCCCCCAGAGGCCGCCCAGAGCGTGTCTTCCATCAGCAGCAGACTTCTGACAGGCAGGACGCCGAGTTTTATCACTTTCTGAGGTTCGGAATTCCAGGTTCCATCTTAAAAGAAAATATTTAATTTCATTCGCGTTCTGTTCTCCCTGCACAGGGGCAGGGAGACAGGACCACAGACCATTTTCAGTAACAGACAACCGAAGTATCAGTCATGATTTTCCAGGCGCCGTTTGACGCTGGGTGTGTCCAGGGCTCTGAGAGCGAGAGCCACGTTGGTGGGGAGGCCCCCCCACGGCCGACAAGCACCGAGCACCTGGGGTCCGCGTGCGTCCCTCTCATCCCAGCCTGGCCGCTCACCCAGTGTCTGGAGAAATCATTCATTCACCCTGAATCTTGGTGTCCTTAACTGTGACATACGAGCAATCCTACCACTAGCCTAGAGGTTGTTTTAAGAATTAAATATGCTGCACGTAAAAAGCTCAGCGCAGCACTCGGCCTGCAGGTGTTGGACAAACACCGTTATTTACAGTTGTGTAGAGCGATCTGGTCACCATGAAAGGAACGGCACCCAAAGTAACTGGGCACATGTTTAAATTTCCCCCTTACCTGCTTCAATTTTAAAAACCCCTTGTTACGTACTTTATCATGAAGACAGTTCACATCTTCACTGAATACAAAAAAAAAAACAAAATTGAGGTTCAAGGAATCCTTTCTTTGGATGAACTTGCTCCCTTTCCTGAAGCCTATGAACTGATAAAATATTTTGTTGTGAAAATATTTTCAAAGATCTGCTGATGAGGTCTTCTATGCTTTATAGTATGAGTGGATAGCTTGGACATCAATAAAAAATTATTTGAAGCAAGATTTAATATAAATTTTAAAAGTGACTAATGTAATTATTCTGTAAATAATTAAAATGAATTCTTCAGTTCTCAGTCTAAGCAGTAACTAAGCCGTCGTGCTTAGAAACGTGACTAAGTGATTCATCCATCAATGCTTCTGACTCGCTCATGGCATCCACATGCTTGGCTCGACAAGGAGAACCAGGTCTCGGCTCTCGTCCCTGCGTTCTGGTTGGAAGCCGAGGTCTCTGAACGCAAAGCTGTTCAGGAACAAGGTCTGAGCGACGTGTGCCGTCAGTAAAGGCAGCTGTGCCAGCTCTGACTCTGGCATCCTGTTAGTTACGACACAACTGTGACGGCAACGCCTTTGTGCCGCAACGAGGACAGTTACCAGCCTGTGGGCGTCGCCTGCCTTCCACGGGCAGTATCTGCGCCGGGTCTGGGATGTCATTATGTGGTTAAGCACAAATGCACACACACCCATGCGTGCACACACATGCACACACACATGTACATGCGCACACCCCCCACATACACTCACCCACAAAAGCACACGTGTGCGTGTACACACAAATGTGAACACATGCACAGACACACGCCCTCACATTTGTGTGCATACGCACACGTGCACAAGCCTTCGCATCTGCTACTCACACCCTCTAAGGCATCACAACCTCCACGTTTAATGGGCACGCGCGGGTTCAGCGTGGAAACACGGTTTTCTCTGACAGTCACGTGCTCCCGAGCGCACGGCACGGCAGAGAACTCCAGCTCTCTGAACCCTGGGCCTGAACTCTAGTTGCTGCCCGCGCCTGTGTGCTCGTCCCAGGTGGTGCTCAGCACGGCTCAGCACAGCCCCACTGACCCTGCCACCCTCTGAAACGGGACCCCCAGATGAAAGACGGGGTGACGCACGTCACACACTTCACTTTGGTTAAGGGTCAACGTCCAACAACGGCACTTTGTTTCCCGAGCACCTCGGCTGCTCTTCCTGCAAACAGTGAGCGCTCGTCTCTCCCACGGAGTCCTCTGAATGCGGGTGACCTGCCGCGTCGGCTGCCGGAGCCTGGGGAAGTGGGGCAAGGGTCCCCACGGGGGCCCAGGTGCAGTTCCGGCCCTTACTTCCCGCACTTTATCCTTCTGATAAATTTGCCATTGTACTTACAAAGATTGAAATGTGATTTTTTTTCCGCTCCCTGCATAACCAAGTGACACCTAACTAAACACAGCAAGCCAATCAGGAAACCACTGACGTTGCCCACCGTGAAGCGGTAAGAACTAGGGCAGCGCGCCAGGGGCCAGACACTGCAGCTCCTGGCACCGCTGAGCCCAGCGGACCCTGTCCTGAGATGCGCAGCCAAGAGGGCCTGGAGGCCGTGGCAGGAGGCCTGTCCCAGCATCCGGAAGTCCCCGCCCGGCTGCAGGCAGGTTGGCTGGTCAGCCCAGCGCCAAGGGAGCCCAGGCCCACCCAGGGAGCAGAGGGCGCAGTGGGTGAGGGGCTGCAGGGGAGGTGGGTGTGGAAATCCTCGCCTGGGGGAGAGGAGGAGCTCCAGAGACTGAGAAAGCATTCCAAGAGCCGCCTGGGGAGGGAGTGAGCTACTAGGGCCTTGGGGCAAAGGGGACAAGCATGGGGGACGGAGGCTGGAGAGGGGAGCCCGTCCGGGTGACCCGCCTCACCTGCGGCTCTGGCGTAGCTGGCCACCGCCCCGTCCACCAGGCCCGCGTACAGGCTGCGCGGTGAGCCCGCCAGGCTCATGACCGTGGACCTCTCAGGCGTGAAGAAGTGCTGAAGCCTCACTTTCTTGGAGCCTTGACTGCTTTTATACACAGAAATGCTTTAAAAGAAAGACATAAGCTATAAGCATAGCTGCTCATCGTGGAAGAGCTGAGTGTCCGTCAACGCAAACGCATGTACCGCCTCATTCCAATGCCCGAGCCCCGCCCGTCCTTCCCCACTCCTGGACACACTTGGCGGGATTTTAAAAACATCTCTGACCACTTTCATTTCTTTTTTTAATTTTTAAAGAGAAATTCTGGGCCATAAAAAAAAACGTAGTGCTTCCTATATATCTGGGAACTTCAGGAAAACAATTTTACTTTTCCTCTAAACAGTGCCAATATCCAACATGATTATAAGACAGAATATGGCTGTTTTATTCCAAAATGTAAGGAGTGGTATGCTTCTCAAAAGCACTAACAAAAATGCCACATTTCAGTGGCAAATAGCGTGGTACTTTTCCCCTTTAAAGAAATAACTATTTCTCTTTGGGAGTTTCCTAGAATAATTTCCACGGGCCCAGATCACTGGTTATTTAAAAGCACAGTGACCCTAAAAATGTCCCCTCGTCCCCCAGTTCCCGGGCACACGGCTCCTGACACTGAGGTCAATGCCCTTTCCCGATAGGCGCCTGGCGGCTGCGCTTATGTGGGCGCCGTGGTGACGGTTCCTTGCGACACAGGGGACGGGGCTCTACCTTCCCTCTTCCGCCCCTGCGCAGATGGTGGGGGCCTCGCCAGCCCTCGTGGCGGAGGTTTCGGGGCCCGAGGCCGCGCCCGGCTCTCTGAGCGTGTCCTCGGCGGGAATGTGCACCATGCACAGGATGCGAGACTCCACGTTGAAGCACTCGAGGACTTTGGGGCTGGAATTTTGAAACGAGACGATGGCGATCTGGCCCATCTGGTTGGTGCAACTTCCGATCTGCACCAGGGAATCAGAGGGGAAGAGAAAACGCGCGTGTGGGGGGGGTTCCCCAGTCCACGCACCCCGACACTCGGCCACGCGGCACCAGTCTGCACGTGAGAGTCGACTCTTAGAAAAATCAGATAACGTTTCAACACTCTGCCAACGGGGCCTGTTTTCCTTTCAACATACTGAATTAGGTTTTTAAACATTTTTAATAAAAAGAGTATACCTATTAATGATTTTTAAAAAGTCACATTTATACACTTTAAAAAGCATATACAATCACTGTGCAAATGGTAAAAGCCTATTCATACACACTTTAGAGTCCTAAAAGGGAGATTAATATCAATTTTAAGTAACACTAATGTTTAACAGACCTTAGCTAAAAACCTGAGTCTTTGAAATGAGAAAAAGTTAACCAGAACACATCCTATAGTGCATCATTCACATTTAATACATGATGTAGCATGTTGCAGTATTTCTGTGTTTACGAACTTCCTGTTCGTTTGAATTTTCACGCTGAGAAAACGTAGCACAGTTTCCCAATTTAAACTTAAATTTAATTGTTTTCTAAGTGGTGAGGAGTCTGACCCTTGTTAACAGGAGGTCCTGGCTCGTTTAGGATGCTTGGTGATGTTTTCTTTTCCACCAGCTTCGAGGCTGTTGTTGTAGTCTCCTTATTCTGCCTGTGTTCGCCCCGAGCTACAAATAAACAACCTACTTGGGCCCTTTCAGGAGAGATGCCAACTGGCCGCGCCCCGCACGGGCCTCAGGGAGTGGGCACGCAGGCCAGGGGATGAATGGCGGGTCCACCCGCCTGTGTGGAAACGGTTCTCTTTCAAAATCGGAAACCCGCAGGGGAACGAAGCCCTCCACGCATGGGTTGGCGGGAATGAAATACCAGCTCACTGGGCTGTTCTGTTTCTAACAATAATGAGAACACTGACCAAGCAGAAGCTTTGGCTGTGAGGAAGGGACGGCAACTTGCTGCAGAGGATGCTGGGAAGAAGTCAGGAGCGTCGGGAGGCAGCAAGGTGCCCAAAGGGCAGGTCCGAGGGGCCTCGGGAAGGCACACGAGAGGCTCGGACCACTCAGCCTGAGCACCGTCCTTGGGTTTGCAGGAACCAGAAACAGCTGCTGCAATTGCAGCGTGATTTCAGATGCTGTGTGTCATTTGGAACAGATTAATTTTAATTGCTAAGTTTCCAGTGTAAAAAGCTAGGCTTGGAAGAAGAAGAAATAAAAAATCCATGCAATTTAACCACCAAAATTGAAGAAATATTAACATTATTCTCATATTAGTTAAGTGTCTTTGGACTGAATTTAATCTGGTAAAAGACTCAGATGAAAAAGAAAAGAAATTAACATTTTAATTCCTAAGAATTCTACATCTTTTCCAAAAGTAATCAGGCCCCTTTCAGGGGGAGTTTTCACGTTTGAAAATACACGCTGGGCTACACCGAAGCGAACGGCAGCGTTCCACGCGACGACGCGCGTCTGTTTCCCGCCACACTAACTGCGCGTGCCGGTCCTTGCGAACTCGCCTAGGAACAAAGTCATCTTACCCACAGGAAGCCGTGCGCCGCGGAGGACGGGTCTGGCTGACTCTCGTTGCTCAGGAAGGGCTCGGGGTTGTACGCAGCACATTCGATCTGGAATGGGATGAAATCAGACGCTTGTGAAAGGGACCGAGAGGCTTCCGGGCCACAGAGAGTCTGACACGGACGACGTGTTTCCAACACAGAACCACAGACATTCTGGTTCATTACCCACCACAGATTAAGACGGGAAAGTTTGGAGCGTGAGTCTCAGAAGGCGGCATCT